AAAGCCAGGAATAAAGTTAAAAGACCTTGAGGCAAAAAACTGGTGTTATTAAAGAATTTTTTAAAATTCCAATTGTTTTAAATTTACCCCATTTGAGCATAGTGAGCAAAAGGGAGGATAATGTTAAGAAAGCTGGAAAGACAGAGAACAGTCATCTTATCCAAGGTCTTTGTGAAACTTCATTCTAAATGATTCTAGCATTTTTGTCAAAAAGGAACATAATCTGATTTTATTTTTTTAAAAAATCACATTGACAGCAAAACTGTAAAAAACAGAAAAAAGATTAGTAGAAGAGGTGTGAAAAGCAATTACCAAGCAAGTGAGAACAAAAGCAATTGCGCCACTACAAGTTAAGATTTTTATGTTTATTTATTTTTAAAAATTATTTATTTTATTTATCATTATTATTATTTATTTTTAATTTGCTGAAGGGCATGTGTGCTCACTAGAGAGAGAGAGAGAAGAAGTGAGAAGGCAAGTCACCAAGCCTGGGATTCAAACCAGTCATGTGGTAATCCAGTACCTTAACCATCACACCACCTGCTGGCCCAACAATTAGGTTTTTAACACTGTCCCTAAAATTATAGGAAGCCTTTAAAAATTTTTTCAGAGAAAAATTATTGTATTTATCATATAAGCTATTAATTAAACCAATGATATTAAATGAATTACATTTACTAATTACTATATTATAAAGGAACTTTTAAAAGTTCATGAAAAATGCATATTTCAAAATTTTTTCCCACTAAACTAGTTAACTCTATTCTTCCATGAATTCTCTTTGTATTAGTACTATTTTAAAAAACATTGTCAAGAGTCAGCAAGTGGTGTGGTGATTAAAGCACTGGATCCCACACAGCCAAATCTGCAGATCAAGTCCCAGACCAGGTGGCATGAAAAACTTACTGGGCTTGTGTGCATGGATGCCCAAAATTCCAAGAGGAAAATTAAGAAGGGATTGTAGCGTGGGCATCCACCCTGGAGCTGATTTCTTACTTTCCCTGTCTCTTTCTATTTCTGTTTGATGAGTGCATGTGCCCTATGGCAAAAATTTAATAAAAACAAAAATCACTATCAGTAATATAAGAGAGAAAGAATAGAGAAAAGAAGCAATGTAGAACTTTTGGCAATACTCCAAGAAGAGATAAAAGTCTAAAGTGAAGGACTATCAAGATTAAAAAGAAGAAAGAAACCAGAGACTAAGTCAGAATTTTGAAAAAGGTTAAATAATAAGCTGAAAGAAGAAAACAGAATATCAAAGAGTGGGAGAGTAAGTTGTTTCTCAAACTATTCGTGCGTATTAATTTTTCTAATCCATCATCAACTAAAAGTTTCTCAAAGTAAAATAAATATTTTTTTTTAAAAAAAAGAAATTTAAGGGACCAGCAGATGGCATAATGGCTATGTCACTGGATTCCCATGTAGTCGACTGTGGTTCGAGTCCCGGATCCAGTGGCTTAAACTCACGCTGGGCATGTGTGCATACGCGCCCAAGATGCCCAGAGGAGAACGGAGGAGAAGGAACTGTAGCATGGTCATCCCCCAGGGGGTGATTTCTTGCTTTCTGTCTCTCTGTCTCTCTCTCTGTCTTTCTGGCAAAGTTCATGCGTCCTGTAGCAAAAACCTCTCCAAACAAACTAAAAATTAAAACTACAAAAATAAAAGTACAAGTGTTTTTATTATGTGGCTTAATAGACATAATATTAAATTTCAATTAAATTTCATATAAATCATACAAGCAATTGGAATATAAAAACTGTTATACTATACACTGAAAATGTGTAGACAGGTGGCTGAAATAAACACTTACAAATTTTCTTCTTCACACATCATAATTAAATAAAAAAGTTTTAAGGAAAGACTCTCCAAAAGAAACACCTATATGAATACTTTAAACAAACAATAGAAATATAAATATTTCAAGTTCATCACATGGCAATGAATTTTTTGTTTTTTAACTTATCTAAATTAAACTGAATAACAATGCTACTCATGTGAATAATGTATATTTAACTTTTTTGTTTTATTTTAGTAACTCTCAAAATGAAAAAAAAAACTATCACAAAGGTATGCCAATAGAATAAAAACTGAGAGAGCTTAAAACATTCATTTTAGACATGAATATGAAATGAAGGTGGAAATGCTATAATTTCAAAAAGTATCCTCAGTGTTCATCATTGCCAGTTCAAAGAATTCATCTTGAATAATTAGAATAAAATAGAAATTGTATTTTAAATCCTAGATGTATAAATTTTCCTAAGTATGGGGACCAGCAGTTGGAGTAATGGCTATGTCGCTGGACTCCCATGTAGTCGACCGCGGTTCAAGTCCTGGACCCGGTGACTTAAACTCACGCCAGGCACGTGTGCATGCATGCCTAAGATCCTGAGAGAAAAATGAAGGAGAAGGGATTGGCAGCGTGGGCATCCCTCTGGGGGATGATTTCTCGCTTTCTATCTCTCTGTCTCTCTGTCTCTCTCTGCGAGCAAAACCTCTCCCCCCCAAAAATTTTTTTCTAAATTATGAATCTTCCATTATTGGTAAATAGAATGTAAAACATCTTATTGAATCCATAAGTGACAACTTTTCAAAAATACACAAAATCAAATCGTTCCTAAACATCAAGACTTTTTTGGTATTAAATTCTAAAGCACATCATAAAAAACATGTATCTACAAAGTTCTAAGTATTTTTTTTTATTCATTGATGTTATCTACCATGAGAAGAACATGTTGCCATCCTTCCATATTTCACTATTTGGAAGCACTGCGTCTATAAAAAATATTTTTGTGTACACACACACACACATATATGACAAAAAAGTCAGTCCAAGTTGTCTTTAAAATGGAGAATTAAAATGGTTTCTCATCCCATAGAAGCACTAAGAGTTCACTTGGTAGCTCTGATAACAACAGAAATTTTCACCTCAACAACCACTGCACCAGAGCTTATAATAACAGTTATGATTAGCTCCCATATTATCACATAATAGAGATAATAATAGTAAGTTTACCACATTGGTCTTAAAGTAATTACAAATTTTATTATGCCATTAAAAACCACAGTTCAGTTCAGCTAAAGTTGTTTCAATACCAAGATTTTTTGGATTAAGTGTATTGATAATCTGATGCAGGAACCTCAATCTGGGTATCTAACCCCTGAATATTTTCTGGTCACTAAGAGAGCCTTTGGTACATACTCTTTCACAACAAACTACAGATGATGCTTCTTTTTTTTTTTTTTTTTTTTTT